ACAGTGCTCTGCTGGGTTTCCAGGTGGTCCTGGTGAGCTGGCGGGGCTGGATGTCTTTGGAATGTCTGCGACAGACTGGCACAGTTGTGGGAACACCAGAGAGAGAGAGGCACAAGGCAAATTCAAGTACATACAGAGGTGTTAAGCTATCTCTATGGGGAACAGCTGTGTAGGCCGTGTAAGGAGTGAATAGCTGGTGAGGGGCAGCTAGTGAAGTAGGGTGCTATGTTTTTGTGTTCGTGAACACAAAGAGAGAGTTTGAGTAACTTTGTTGAGGGGGCTGTAAGCAGGGGTCAGCTGATGACACATAAAATAATAAAAAGTATATTGAGCAGGTTAAAACATGTGTCCTGTGTGACAGTGTCACAAGGGTGCTATGTTTTTTTGTTCGTGAACACAAAGAGAGAGTTTGAGTAACTTTGTTGAGGGGGCTGTAAGCAGGGGTCAGCTGATGACCGGGGCTATACGCGTGGTCAAACTATTACTCAAAGCACTGATGGTTCACGGGTTTGGTCACTATGACAAAACTGAAATAAAATAATAAAATTAAATCAAAAGGAAAAGGAAGGAGGATTTTACCTATTTAGTTTTTTTTTTTTGCTCAGAGATATGGCCAAGCAGGTGTCACTTGTGGATGATGCTGCAATAGACTCATAAACCTAGGGTTAGACTGTTAGCTAAGCTAGCAGGGACACACCAAATACCTCGAGGTCAAAAAGGAAAAGAAACAATGGGAAGTGTTCCTAGTTCTGTCTGGGCCTACATTGTGTTGAACAGTAACTGCACTTCAATGTACTAGGCCTGTCACTGAGGAGTGATGAGGAATAGGGAGGAAACAGGGATTAGGCTACTAATAACCTGTATAACTCATTAAGGAAACATCAGTTGCTAAAACTACTGTAATCCTATACAAAGAGGGAGGATGATAATGGAACAAATAAACTAAAATAAGGTAAAAGTAAAACAAAAAAGGTCCTAATAGCTGTAGGAAACTAAAAGGAAAAATAGATAAAAAAAAAAAATTTTGATTTAATTAAATCTCAAATTTAATAAAAATCAATTTAGCTGAATTGGTACATTCATGCTAAACAAATGTAAATAAATGCAATAAAATCAAAGAGAGGTAGAATAAAATACAAATAAAAATAACACAAGTAAAACCAAAGTATGTAGAGAGAGAGAGAGAGAGAGAGAGAGAGAGAGAGGAGTGGTTTGAAAGTTACACTTTACACACCTATCTAAGTGTTAGTCGGATGCTAACAGCTAGCAGGCTGCTAAAGTGGCTACACGCAGTTCTTTGTTTACACAAAGGTCTGTGAAGTGGGTGCTGTTGTCAGATTTGTCAGATTAATCTGCTCACACTTCCGGGGTCACGTGTTGCTAGGAGACCAATGCAAACTCACA